GAGAATTTTCCAAAATTAATGAAAGACAACAAAAAGATCTAAGAGGCTCAGATAATGCCAAGGAGAATACATAGGAAAATATACCTAGACATATCATAGTAAAACTGCTAAAAATCAAAAATTAAGAGGAAATCTTGAAGGTAGCCAGAAAACAGTAAAAATATTATACATAGAAGAATAAATGTAAGAATTATAGCATACCTCTCACTAGAAACTTTGCAGTCCTGAAGGCAGAGGACTGATTTCTTTAAAGTACTGGCAAACTTACACTTCACCACACTCCTATCAGGTCACTTGAATTTTTGTTGTTGGTGAAACTAATTGGGGCAAATAAAACTGGTGGCACTATGGAAACAAGAGTAGTTGATAGGGCTTAGATCCAAGGAGCTGGGTGGCCTTGAGAGCTAGAAGTGATATGGATATGCCTCATGAAATCAGGCCATCAATAAGCAAGGGTCCCACCCCCAAAAAGGGTTTTCCAGAGCCTGGCCAGGTCAGAGATTACATTCTCTAAATCACTTCCAGCATGGTGGGGTTGGTTACAAGAGCAATTTCTGTAGCCATCCAAGCACCTATCCCTGGTGTTTCAAAGACACAGAATGAGTGGTGCAGATTTGGTGACAATAGCCAACCTACAAAGGATAGTTCCTGTGACTCCCTAACTGGGTATTAGGAGACAGGGAAAAAAAGGAACAGAGAATCTCCAGATGAAGAGAACATAAACTTAGGAGGAACAGCCAAAGAAGCTAAACAACCATTTCATGCTGCTGCTGAGATGTGAGTTGATGCAAGAAGTCCTCAGAGGATGGTGAACTAAGTGTGCCAAGCAGTGTAATTTCAAGCAGTTTTAGCCCTCTGTGGATATGAATATCCATCCTTCATGGATATGAATGGGATATCTATTCCCACCTAATACTACCCACTGAATTTGCCATGCACATACAGTTTCAAGACAAGGGACTCCCAGTGCTCCTTTTCCATACAGCTTTCCATCCCTAGGTCCCTCCTGTATAAACATTTGAGAATCACAGGGTGAAGGTGCAAGGGGAGAGATTAAATCTGGAGATTCTACTTGCTCACTCACACTCTTTACATCCTGTGCTAGCTGTTTGCCCACACCACAGTTATCAATTCTCCAAACCCATAGGAGAAAAGCAATGAGAGAAAGCATGTGTATATGTGTCAGGGTGGGGCAGGGAGGGTAAGGTGGGAAATGCTGGATTTGGGCTGGTAAGAGTTCCTGAGTTGTACAAAAAACACTGCCTTATTTAGTGAAGAACAGCCAAGATACGATGAGGATTTGGATTTTAAAAGGTCAAGGTCAAGCCCTTTATATGTCAGCCCCTATTACATTACTGGCAACAGCACTTCAAATGAATGTAGAAAATGAGGTACTAATAGCAGAGAGAAAAGGGAAGCTGTAACTTCCCCTTTGGAAACAGGGATCACCGTTGTGAGTGCCTGCCTCTGAAAATAACACATTCCGGTGACCAGAAAACCTCCAAACTTCTTCTGATTACTCTCCTGCTTCAGAAGTCAAAACAGGATAAGCTAATAATTTTCAATCCTATCTACATTCTAGTTGTCTACAATTATTCCAGATAATTGAACTGTTTTTCACTTCCAACGCATTGGGCAAATCTTTTGGATACCAATTCTGGCACTTAGGTAAGACACTGGACGATTTGCTAAAATACCTGGCTAAAACGGGCTTATCATTCCTTTTAAAGGTTTGAAATATTTTTATTGCATTTGGGTACCGGGATTTTTTTTTTTTTAATGCATTTGTTTATCACAGGAAAAGGCGATTTTAAAAATTATTATTGAGGGGCGCCTGGGTGGCTCAGTGGGTTAAGCCGCTGCCTTCGGCTCGGGTCATGATCTCAGGGTCCTGGGATCGAGCCCCGCGTCTGGCTCTCTGCTCAGCAGGGAGCCTGCTTCCTCCTCTCTCTCTGCCTGCCTCTCTGCCTGCTTGTGATCTCTCTCTGTGAAATAAATGAATAAAATCTTTAAAAAAAAAATTATTATTGAAAACCTCCCTACTTTAAGCACAAGTCAGGTCATATTATCTTTTAAAAGCTCTCTTTAGTTTCAAGGAGACAAAGAAAATTTCTGGTTATTAAGTTTGTTACATGTATGACTAATATTTATTATGCCCAATGTAATAGTTTAAAACAAGCAAATTTTAGTGGAGTTGTAACTTTTATGTGCTAGATGTATAACTCAGCATAGGCTTAAGTCCTTTTTATAATCAATACAATCATTTTGGGGAATTTTTACAAGATAAGCCGAGTAGAAAAACATTTGATTAGGTATTTCAAATCTCAATTTTAAAACTATCAAACAATGGCTCAGTCATAAATAAGGAGTTCTATGATGTTCTGCTTCCTTAGTTAAGAAAGAGGAAATAAATGATACACTTTTTAGGGACGCCTGGGTGGCTCAGTTGGTTAAGCAGCTGCCTTCGGCTCAGGTCATGATCCCAGCGTCCTGGGAACGAGTCCCACATCGGGCTCCTTGCTCTGCAGGGAGCCTGCTTCTCCCTCTGCCTCTGCCTGCCATTCTGTCTGCCTGTGCTCGCTCGCTCTCCCTCTCTCTCTCTGATAAATAAATTAAAAAATCTTTAAAAAATAATGATACACTTTTTAGAGGGAATCCATGCAGTGGACAGATTAAATCAAGTGATCTTTAGGGATCCATTTGGCTCTAGGAGTCTATGACCAGATGACCTCTAAGGTTTCTTCTAGCTCGGAAAACAATGTACTTGGAATGTAATTTTTTTCTATCTGCAACTGTTACAAAGGTTACTAGTGTAATTTTGCTTTCTTAATTCATTGCTGCTGATGTCTATTATTTATACAATGTCAAGTCTCTGGTCAGGAAAGCAACCCCAACTGTATATAATGTTCTGGGAAAACATTTCACTTTATAAGGAGTACGCTGCAGTAGAATTAGAGCCCATCCATGAAACATCAGAAAATGCCGTCCCATTAGAAGTAATATTTACCAACTAATCTCTGGTGTTACTGATTTAGAGTTACTTTAGGATAGCTGATGCTAGTTCAACCTCTCAAATCCAACAAAAAAATAATCCACAAGCACATTTTTATTTACAACAAAATTATTAGACGGTACTTTTAAGATTTTATTTATTTATTTGACAGACAGAAATCACAAGTAGGCAGAGAAGCAGGCAGAGAGGGAAGCAGGCTCCCTGGTGAGCAGAGAGCCTGATGCAGGGCTCGATCCCAGGACCCTGGGATCATGACCTCAGCTGAGGGCAGAGGCTTTAACCCACTGAGCCACCCAGGCACCCCTAGATGGTACTTTTAAAGTAGGCACTTAAACTCAATGCCTGAAAAACTGAAATGTGATGTTCAATTATATCTGAAGTTTTAAAAATGCATTTAAAAATCAAATATGGCTTGGGACGCCTGGGTGGGTCCATCAGTTAAGCATCTGAATCTTGATTTTTTGGCTCAGATCACGATCACGGAGTTGTGAGATCATGCCTTGCATTGGGCTCCATGCTGAGTGTGGAGCCTGCTTAGGATTCGCTCCCTCCTCCCTTCTCTTCCCCTCCCAACCCCCTTGCTCTCTTTCTCTCTAAAAAAAAACAAAACAAAACGAAAAAAAAAAAAACATAAAAAAAAAACAAATATGGCACTGCAATTTCCTTAAATTACTTCCTTTATTTCAAAGTGTCAAAAAGCTAAAGATGATCTTATGCACACACATAAGCAATGTGTCTCAGAATTCGAAACTACGCAAAGAATTTTTCAGTATCACCTAAAAATGAAGTATCTACACACTTTAGTGTAATGCTTAATACTTACTTTTGAAATCTATTGCTGATGCTACTTCTAAAGACCAACGACTCAACCAGAAAAATAGTAAAGGTTGTTTTTTCTTTTCTAAAGTGCTTATTAGCAACCATATCCAAAAGCAATGGTTTTTAGAAACACATAACATTGAAAGGTGATCAAAGAGTCACTAATTACAGATTCAAATATGCCAGTTTGTAACTCTGCATATGTAAACTGGTTTTATCTGCATTAATGAAAGATTGCTTTCAATGGCCCTCAACTCTATGCTTCAAATCAAGACACTGCTATTAGTATCAACAGCATGAACAGCGACAGTGGAATAAACCCCAGCACATTTTAAGTGGATCACAGCAGACTAGAAAACCTGTAACAGCTTCTGGATATGTTATATATCCAAAGATGAGCCTTCTTGCTCACTCTGCATATACAGTAAACATGAAAAAAATTCAAAACTTTCTTACCTCATTATAGAGCAGTTATAGTATACAAAGGGATTAAAATTCTTCTACTATTTAACCTAACTCTTACTTCTATATAGAGCAGACTTCATTCTCTCAACATTTAAAACAAAGCCTATTTTCACCAAGCAAGCAAGCAGGAATTAACAAATGAAATACCTAGCACTAAAAACCTGAGGAAAAAAGTTATGCCCAATTCTGAAATGAAGCTTTTTTTAAAGAAAGTTTGATTTAAACATTCCAAAATAGAATTTGCTTTCCAACAGTGAAACATCTGACTTCATTTCCATCATGTCACATTTATCTGTTTAAATAACTTAGAAAAAAAATAAACATCTTATCCTAAATGCTTTCTGTATCAGACTCTCATCTTAACTCATGCCCTCAACATGAACCATTCAACAGTTTTATGGTGAGCGTCCCCTCAGGTCCTTCCCTATCTATTTTCTGAGCCTTAAGTTTTTTTTACCCCTCCTTTCTTTCCCCTCAAAAAATCTTCATATAACCCAAGAGAAACTTGATTTTTTAAAAAAATCACAACTTAAATATATTGTGATAATGCTACATTTGATTTAAAGTAGTAATAAATTATAAATTGCTAAATAGCTTCATGTAATTCACAATGCAAATCCCTAGTAGAAAAAGAATCCATCTTGCCCTGAATATAATACAGCAGTCCAGTGATTTCAAATTACTTATGAAATAAAGACAAAAATAAGGCGCAAAATACTATTTATAAAAGTTAAGTAAGAAACCAGTTACCATATATCTTTTTACAAAGATAAATGTAATGTGCCTTCCTGCTTCTAAAAATTGCTAGGGAGGTTTATAATTAGTGGTTTCAAAAGTAACTTTAAGGAAACTAGAGATTGAGTCACATATTATTTATAATATATATGATATTAAATATATATGTAACAATAATACTGCAATGGTGAATTTAATCTTTGGACCGGCTACTTTTGGCAAGTATATTTCTTTTTCCAAAGTCTTTGCTATAACTGATTAATTTTTAAATGTTAGTTTTCAAAAACTCTGCTACTTAAGTACTACATTTATAAGGAGATACTAGAAGTCTCAAAGAGTAATAATATGCCTACAAAATAAAATGAAGATTGTTCTTGCACCTTATGTTATTATAACAAATACACTTTAAAATAGATGACATTGCTAGGCCTGGATATTAAAAATACCCAAACCCTTAAAAAGGGGATGGAAAAGGAAAGAAAAATGGAAAATTCTTATTTAAAAATAAATCTGAAGTTCTTGCATTTCTTAGGAACTTGACTTGTCAAAATCAGTTTATCTTCTTTCGGACCAAGCTGTATCTTCCACCATTCATCTATGGAACGTGATGTTAATTCTCCGTTTTGTAGATTTCAGTTTGAATTTTCTTGAATGTTTGCAAAGCTGGTACTGGACTTGAGACGTTTGGCTAGATAAATCAGAAGTATTATATTTTAAGCATAAATTATCCAAACATAATTATTATTTTTGTGTACACTATAGTATTCACTTATTAACTCTATGTTTGATTCAAAATAGATGATTTTCAATAGAAAATGGAATCAATTTTCTAAGAATCAAAGCCTAAGCCTATTTTCTTCTACCAACCTCAAAAAACATAACTTTGCTTGAAGCCATATATGCCTTTGTTAGAAGCAGTACCAAATAAAACAGACATAATTTATATCATCCTGAATATTATAATCTCAAATACATAATGCAGCTAAGAGTACTCTACTTAAAAAACTGGAAGTGCTGGGGCGCCTGGGTGGCTCAGTGGGTTAAAGCCTCTGCCTTCAGCTCAGGTCATGATCCCA